AAAAAAAAAAAGGAAAAAAAATTCCTTATGTCATAATTGTAGCGAAATTTCTAAAATTACAAATAAAATAAAATAAAATAAAATAAACAAGAAGAGACATTTGGTTACTAAAGCAAAATAGGATCTCTCATTATTCAAATTCTTACGGAAGATAGTAACCAAATGTCTCTTCCTGTTTTTCTTTATTTGCAATTTTAGAAATTCAGCTACAATCATGACATAAGGAATTTTTTTTTATCCTTTTTTTTTTCCTGTTTAATAGTTTCTCTATGTATAAGTTATTTTTGTTTATAAATTAACACAAAGAAATCTCTATAGCAGAATGGTTAAAATTTCTTCAAAATTTATAAATTATTCAAGTCCTGACAGCGATCATTTTTTTTTATTTAAAGTATTTATTTATTAGGCCAAATAAATTTTAAATCCATTACATAGATTTAGTGCAATGAGATAATCTTTAGTGATAATTGAACTAATTATGTATAATAGATCAACAACCTAAATATTTAAGGATAATTTTTAATTTCTTAGATCCAAAAAATAAATCATATATTCATTTTAGTCGATGTAAAATACAAAGAAAATAAGGTGAAGGAAGGAAGAAGAATAAATCATAATAAAAAAATAATAATTAAAACGACAAAAAGAAACACCAAATAGTTAAGAATATATATATATTTTATGATTTACATTATAGATCTCTTGTAGAATTTAATTTATCTGTTGCTTTTTTCACTTCCATGCAGACCAGAAAAGCATCCTTGAATAAAACTATTTTTCTTTGCAAGGGAGGGGCCCACAAACAAGGGTGGCAACCAAAAAGGAAAAATAAAAAAAACCTAACTGGTTTGACCGTTTAACTTAATGGTCAATAAACAACATCGCTAGGTTCCATTGGACGGAGGGATGACATTAGCATGGTTTTGCATCGTAGAGGGACGACAGGTAGAGTTAATTAATAGTAGAGGGATGACATGAAGCCAATCCATAGTAGAAGGTTTAGAATGCACTATTTTTTATAGTAGAGGGACGATAGATGGCCTTAACCCTACTATAAATACTAAATATTGTCAGAACCTCTCATTTAAAGTAGAATTGTTGACAAATCATTTTATAATTATCAAATTTAATCTCTCCATTGATTATTTCGTTAAATTCATAATAAAAATTTTATAATTAATATTCTATGAAACCAAAGCCCATAAATAAAGGAAAAAAAATAATCTATACACCTTTTTTTCTCAACACTAAATATATTTTAAATCAGACTTTCAAATTTAATAATTTGTTAATTCATCTCAAAATTTGAACACTAGACTTTTAATTGATCTAAATTTTAACTACTATCAATGGTTTGAAAAAATTCCCTACTCCCTATAATTGCCCCCAAGCTCAGAAAAAACTAAACATACATTTTATTTTTTTTAACACTACTAAACGCCGTACTTTTTGTTCTTTTGGAAAACTCCGAAGATAATGTTTCTTTTTTAATTTTTTAGCCTTTTACTAAATGCAAAACTTTTACTTCATTTTTAGAAACTTATGATATAAGTTAATATTTTAATAATATAATAAATTTCATAACTCAAATATTTTTTAATTACAAATTATTTATCATCTAAATTACTATTTTATAAAATACATCAAAATATATAAAATAAAAATCTATCTCAAATTATTTGATTACAACATGCAACATATACATAAACCTTTATTTTCAAAGGAAAAAAATTTCCAAACATTTTTAAAAAAAGAAGAGTTAAGGTGTGGAAAGAATCCAAAATTTAGTACAAATAATTTTAGGGTAATGAAAATTTAAAGAAAATTTATGTAAAAATTTTCATTAGACCTCCTAAAATTCCAATTAAGATTTTGTTTTGAAAATTAGAGAAAGTAAATAGTCCTAAGATTAAGTTTGGTAATTTTAAAAAGGTTGGGGACTATTTTTATTCAAAGAAAAGGTTGGGACAATATTTAGTATTTATGGTAAGGATTAAGGACTAAATTTGATATTTTCGTATAATTATTATTAATCTCTATTTTTGTTTAGAGTTCTATAATCAATACAACTTACTAAATTTTAGTGTTATTAAGGCCTAAAATGCATTAAGGCCTTATTTCCTCAAAAATCCTTAGCTTGCCCCAACCACATAACTTTAGGCATAAGGCGTGCCACTTGTTTTGTCTAAAAACAAGAAAATTGAATTTTCTAGATAACCTTTCTCCTTTCAAATGATCGACCTCCAAAAGAATGGTTGGAAAGAATGTTTGTGAATTAAACTGCACCCTAAACGATGTTGTAAAACAGAGAGTGAAGTTTTATAAAATGGGCGACTAATTGCCTTGGACATCTCTAAGGACTTTAAAACTACTAAAGTGTAACAAAAGCTACAAATCCTAAATTAAATGTAATATCCTAAGGTAATTATCCTAAAACAAAGTAAATAAAAGCAAATTGCATGCCACAAAAATAAATTTGCAGATAACAGATTGTGTAAAATTGCATGCGATGATTTGAACCATGTAGTCCATAATGATTTCTTAGAAATTAAACTAATTACTTGCAGATTTAAAACAAAGATAATTGAACTATTTGATTACTGCAACCAAAAGATAATCTACAAATTAATTAAAGTCTAGAAACTTGTAAAATTAAATCCTAATTTAGAAATCAAAGTTTAAGAAATTGTAAGTTTGGCAACTATGCAGAAACGAAGAAAAGAAGGTAGAAAGCATTCAACCCATTTACATAAACAAATAATAGAAATGAATCCATAGAAGAAAGAAAAACTATCAAATCAACGGGGCAGATCTGCTTATAAGGTTGAATTGCTTCCAAGTCTTTAAAAATTATCAAAAGTTGTAATCTTTGAAGGTAAATATGAACAAGGATGGAAAACCTAAACTAAAACTAAGAACAAGAGTAGTTCTTGCACTCTAATTTGGAAATCATATTGAAATCTAGAAGAAAAAGTTTGAAAATTCAAGATGCATATATGTTGGGTGGTTTATTTGTTGGGCAAGCCATGTGTTTGTACTTGTAGAATTGATTTTTTCCTCTATTTTTGTTTTTCTCTTCTGCTAAACAGTTTCCCCCGTGATTCTCACTTTTGCTTTCACAAAACTTGTTGTAAAAAGCCATGTCTAAAAGCAGTTTTCCTCTTGTCTGACAATTGCCGGTTATTCTCAAATAAATCTCTAATAAAATCTAGATAAATCCTCTTAAAATCTCTCCACAATCTCCTAATTAAATTAAATTTTAACCACCTTAGAGAGCTTACCCTTCTTGGACTTCAACAACCCCATTGTAACCCACTTAGTCCAAAGCCCAAAATTACCTATAGTCTCAACTCAGCTCATCACTAAAAATGTGGCCCAATTCACCCTAAAAAAGGCACACATGTGTCCTCTTTCATTTTTAGTTTATTTTGGGTGTAAACAATGGCCCCCAACACTTGGTTTTATGGGAATAAATCCAAGTGTTTAAACTTCGAAAGATATCTTTTAGAACTTAAAAGGCCACGTGCACAATCTATTAAATCCTAGAACGGTTGTAACAGGTATTACCATCTTTTTCACAATTAACTCTATCTAGGCGCATTTAACCATCCACAGCCAATCATGGTCACTTAATTCATCTTGCTCTTAGTCAAAGTAAAATAAATAAAAGAAAACCAATTTATCTATACACAAAAAGAAGTGTGAACTTGGTTCAAACAACTCTCTAAGATTCTTGTCCTCTTGCCTCCCAGACGGTGGGGTAATAAGGTTTGAGATAAATGCCATTGATTTTCCTAGGATGAAACTCTCCTCCAAGTGATTCTAACCAATAAGCTCCCCCTCTCAACACTTCATAAATCCATAATGGCCTTACCCAATTTAGGGAGCACTTTCCGAACTTAAGATCTTTCTTGCTAAGATGTAAAATTGCTTTTCAAACTAAGTCACCAACTGCCAGATTTTTA